ATGTGAGGCTTTATGCATTTAGCTATTCACAGGGCTGCAAAATACGAGCTTGCTGTACTTTCCTGGGTAGTGATGTTAGTTAGTCTTACCTTTTGCTTTACGTACTCTTCTTTCTTTTTCTGGAAAAAGTCCTCACTATTATTTGAATGCTCAGAGATGTTTGTTTTTGTTGATATTGAGTTTGCATTTGTTGATATGGTTTCAGAGCTTCAACTGACAAAATCTTCAAGCACAACGTGCACCGTGGTCTGCCACCACCTTTACTCGGTTTAAGGCGAGACACTATAGGTGAACAGGGTAACATTTTTAAACAATAGATATCACCATGAAACTTCCTCAGTTGATTACTTACACAAGTACATAAAAAAGCATTACAAGTTTTTGAAATTTGTATGTTTAATTATGCAAATTAGGCATTATTGATTTACATTTGCGCAATTTTGCATATTTTCGGAGGTGCAAGCCAGGTGCAAAATATTTTTTTCATTTTGGTAACACACAAGATGAAAAAAAAAAGTTCAGAGGGATTTCAGCATATATGGTTTCATTACCTAGGAAATCAAAATATACTGTCCATAGCCTTAAAAATATAGTTTTTTGGCTATATTTTCTTTATTAAAATGTCACATAAATCAGGCCAGGAATGAATCAAAGCCCTCTGAAAATATCTTCAGAATGCTGCTAAGCTAAGTGTATAACTGGAAAGTTTGGTGTACATAGGTGCTACATAGGCTGAGATATTTGTACTGGGGAATGACAAAAGGCATTTAAAGATTTAAGTAGGGAATTGAATACATTTCTATTAGGGGAAAAATGCTCAAAAACAGAATAAATGCTCAGGCCCTTAGTAATGATAATAATATTTCAAGCTCATGAAAACTGATTATTTAATAAAATGGCAGGCATATGAGGCCTACAGCTGCAGTAACTCAATGAATTAACATTGGCAGAGTACACCACGTGATGCGTCTGAGCGAATCACATTAGCAGAAACCAGCAGTAGCCAATGAGATTTCGTCATTAGCTTTAAATCACCCTTTGGACATTCTCGATTGGTTACTGATAGAAAGGAAATGCCCATATTTGGCTTTACAACGATACCGGTCACGACAGACTTCAGTAAACAGACGGACCGCGCCATGACACGTTGGAATGCTATAACTGCCGCAAGTAAACAAAATGTAATAAATTAAACATCTTAATGTATATTTTCAATGTTTTCTTTATAGAAACTTGAAAGAACACATATTCAAGGAGTAAACTAGCCTAAAATCTCAAAACTGATCACTGCACGAAAAATCAATGTTTTAGCCTGCCGTGTCTCGCCTTAATAGATGTGGTAATTGATTGGAGTTGATTGGACAGACTATTTGAAGAGTTCAGATGCAAAAGCCTCTAAATGCCATTTGAAATGTTCTTCTTTAATGAGGATTTTTATCAAACTTGTATATTTAAGTTCAGTAATTTCACTTAAATAACAATTAATAGGTAATTATCATTGCCATTTAAGTGAAATCACTGAACTTAAATATACAAGCTTGATCAAAATGATCATTCTAGAAGAAAATTTCAAATGGCACTTAGAGGCTTTTGCATCTGAACTCTTCATTTGAACATGCTCCTTCCAAACTTTGCTGGTAAAACATAATTTAGTGTATGAAATCAGGTCCTTGAATCATTGAGTCTTTTGTACGTGTGCACGAGTGCAAGTACAAGCGACAGTGGCTGGCTGCAGTTCACCTAACTGCCACCGGTGCCGCTAATAAAAAGGATTTCTGAATTCTACATATAGCTCCTTTAATGTGTTTTATTTGTTTTTTACTCTTACAATTTGTAGGTGATTTTTTTTCTGTATGGTATGTATTATTTTCTGTTCATGTTCAAACTTAACTCAATCTGGTAAAAAAAAAAAAAAACTCAAAACATTTAACAACCACTCTAGTAACCATATAAGCAGTATGGATGTGATACAAAAAAAAAAAAACATCTTTCAGAAAATCTTACCAATCTAGCAATCCTGACAACCACTCACCGCACCCTAGAATAGAGGCAGTGAGTTTAGCACAGCCCTGCAGAATTATAGATTTTTAGATTTGATATACTTAATAAGTCCTTGTTTATTCTTGTTCATTAATTTTTACATTTGTGTTGGCAGTTCACGCATGGATAATTAAAAGTATCATCAAGATGTGGTTCTGAAGTTGTCCTACTGTGAGCTGTAGACATGGAAAATATGGTATGTGTTTTTTACCAAGGTAAATGACAAAAAAATAAATAAAAATAAATCCTCAATAACAGCTGTTATTTTCGCACCATAAAACAGTTTGCTTGGCTGACTTGAATATTGATTATTTTTTACTCAGAGACGAAGAGACTCCCTGGTCTCCAACCCGCTGGAGCTTCAGTCCAAAACCAACAATGCCGTTCGCCGCAGGTTCTCTGGGCCAATGCTGCTTCCCCCTATGGCCCGCAGACACTCAACCCTGGATGCAAAGAAATTAAAGGACCTTGAAGCAATTTATAAATCAGCCCTGGCCTGCGCGGATTCCCAAAAAGAGTGAGTCAGCCTAGTAGATTTAGGTGTCTGATAAAAGTGTGCAATGTGCTATCTAATGTGATCATAGCTAGAACTCTGTTGATTGAATCACATCCTCAGATATCAAACACGGATTGCAGAGAGGTTTCCATAATGGACACAGTTACTGTGAGCAAAATGTGACTTAGTTCAATCATGCTTATTGAATCTCTACGTATACACACAGTGAGTGTGTTTGTTAAATGTCAACCTAAAACGTACAAAGATTTAATCTGAAGGTATTATACGAAATGAAGGAATCTAGATACAATACAGGCAGATTTTTTGTGGCACTGTTACTTCTAATATCTTTCCTCTTCTCCATCTAATTTAGTCACTTGTTAGTTAAAATGATGTGGGAAAGCAAATGAAAGAAAGGTCATGGAGATTTGTGCAGAGGGTGGAAACAACTCCCGGGTGCTTCTCTGTTTACTGATCTCGTGAAAGGGCACAATGACATGGAATGAGATCATAATACAGAGACAGAAGTTCAAGACATTTTATTAAAGGGATACTCCACCGTTTTTTTCATATGTTCTTCCCTTAGTCGAGTCGATACACACCTCTCTCGTCTCAGTGCGTGCACTCAATCGCTCTGGCGCGTGAGACACTTTGATAGCACTTAGCTCAGTTCATTCAATACGGGGCCAAGCAGAGAAGCGACCAAACACCTCCACGTTTTCCCTATTTAAATACAGTCACTCGAATAGTGTAACTCGGCCTAGGACGGTGACACAAAATAAAACTTTTCCACTTTTTACACTTTTCTTGCGTGTAAAGCGAAAAACTATATGGCGGAATACCACAGCAAGTGCTTGGGAGTACTTCGACTCGGCGCATATTTATTTGTGGACTCACGCAGTAATATCATCACTCCGGAGAGTGGCCTTTTGGATTGAATGAACTGGGCTAGTTAAGTGCTATCAAAGTGTCTCGCTAGCTGGAGCGATTGATTGTTGTTGTTGATACTTTATTTATCCCAAGGGAAATTTAAGGCATCCAGTAGCTTAGACAACAGATTTCCACACATATAACTCATGCAATATATATATATATATACTGTATTATAAACAAAAAAAACAACAACAAAAAAAACCAATAATAATAATAATAATACTAAAAACATGCATACACATAACTAAATGTATACAAATTTTCTACAAAATTTAAAATTCCTAATAATATTAACTATGACTATGGATATAGGCTATCAGCTGGCTATTAATCAATCAGAACAGTACATTACAGAGAATAAATTATGAATTCTGAAAGTAAATGTAATGGATATTAGATGCCATGGAAGGCTAGTTGAGACAGAATAATATAATATAAAGATTGAGCGCCCACACGAGCGAGGTATGTATCAACTCGTCTTAGTTAAGAGAATAACATAGTTTAATATGAAAAAACCAACACATTCTCATCCTTTGGCGTCATATAGGTGACGCCATATGACATTTTGTCGAAATACTATGCACATGGCACCCTTTAGCGTCAATATAACATGCACTGTTATGGTTTAGATCTGGGGTAGGATCTGCGTCTCATATTGACGCTGCCATGTGCGTAGTTTTTTGCCGAAATGTCATATGGCGTTAAAGGATATGGGAACGGGCTCGAAAAAACGGTGAAGTATCCCTTTAAGAACACAAATATTAACATGATATATTTAACATTTTGGTGAGCATAATAACAAAAGAGTAACACTTTTTTCTATTTTTTTGTTTTTGTCTATTGGAACACCTAATAAAGCTTGTGTGCTGCCACAGCTTGTCAGATTAGTTTTGTTCCTGCTGGGGGGAAAACAACATGGCATATCAGTTTATAAAGTGGTCAAGCTTGTTTTTGGAACATAGCAGCTGGTTTGTTACTGAAACGTGGTCTACCAGCTCTAACCAGATTGATCAAGGTCTATCAGGTTGATTGTGGACACACCGGCTGTTCAATACTCTTAATCAACTTGAAGCAGTGAATGACCCATAATGTCCAGCTAAAAACTCCTAAGGGACAACACACTACCATCCATTAAATGAGAACCCAATTATTAAATGCAGTCACGTTAGAAAGTGTGATAGTTAGTCTCCACAAAAGCCTTATTTTCTATAAGCCCACAAGAATTTCATGTCTGTGTAAGATTTCACAAAGAAACGTTTTCTCTTGCATTAATGCAATCTATTTTTAATAAAATTCTGACCATATCATTTTAAGCTACTAAAAGTCTATGTAAACATTTAAAACTTACAAGTAGAACACACACACACAGACACGTACTCAGTTTGGGAGTGTGTAAAGCACCTGGTGATGTAATGCACACTGGGCGTTATCTGTATGGCGTCGCTCAGCATGAGCTTTATATCCGCCTCAGCGCGCGCTCTCTCGTTCACTTCAGCCGGATACACGCTGCATGTGCCGCGACGCTGGACGTTTCGCTCTTTTTGTTTGCTGTGAGACGGCCATATGTCTCAGTTTCACTCCGTCTCCATCCCTACCACCTTTATTGCTTCAGTACGAAGCAAAGAAAGACTGATTGAGTGTCAACTTGAAAGAGCTTTGCTTCTGCAAACACGCTGTTTTAATGTAACGAGAGTTTAATTTGCCGTAAAATTGATAAACTTGAAGGGAACGGACGAGCGGTTCAAGGTTTCAGCACCACTGACCGCTGGACAGCTCTTCTGACGTTGAGGAACTATATGAGACTGCAAACTTCGACAATTAAAAATTCCCGACTTTGGACAGTAGACACGGAGCTGATCTTCTGCCCTGATGGAGTGCTCTGCGCTGAGCAGGGAAGGTGCTGGGTTGGCCAAACCGCCTAAGCATCTTTGGAGGCAGCCCCGAACCCACATCCGAATCAAACAGCGGTACCACTCCGACAACGAGCGGTACCTGTGCTCTACCAAAGCCACTGAGCAGCATCGCCCGGGGCTGAAAAAACCGAGAATGTCCTGGCCGTCTTCTTTTAACAAACGGTAATTCGTACTTTAAACATGTCAAATGTCACTTTTTACGTGTGCAATAGGTGAGCTTGAATGTCAACTTCCCCCATGTGAAATGTCAACTTCCCCATGTGACAGTGACTGTGAGGTTTTCAGTGAAACATTTAATTACAAAAATGCTAAAACATGCTTTTTTTATATTTTCGTTTTAACAAACGCTTTAATTACATAGGCTATAATTCTTTTTTGTGAATTCTATTCTATTTAACAGAATGAAGTTGGAATTCCAATATCATCATATATATTTTTTTTTTAAATATACAATTTATTAATTTCATTAGACCTATTAATTTAGGCTCCCAGCTCAAATCAGACCCCAAGTGGTCTCAGGGTTAGAGTTTGCTCACAGATGTCCAGTGTGGGCAAACCTTTAGAATATTGTAATTGTATAAATCATTAATATCTATTTTTTGTTAGACAAATATGTTTTTTTTTAATGTTTTTTTTACTAAAATGTTTCAGATCTGTTTTAGATTTAGCTGAAAATGCATTACAAAAGCATAGTACAAATACAGACAGATCTTATTTACATTTTTTCAAGGAACACATTTTCAACTCTTTATTCTCCAATCAATAAACAGCAGGTTCTCAATGTGTCAACACACCCTACAAAGTGTGATTACATGCCCCATCAGAACTGTCAGTGGTGTTTAATGTATTTTTTTCATGGAAAAAGTGAAATCAGCATGTTGCACACACATGTACACAAACCTAACAACAGTACATTTCATTTAAACCTCTTTAGATTGAGCAACAATTCCACCAGTCACCCACACAGTGATTTTCTTAGAATAAAAGCACAAGTGTCATGATTCTGCCATCATGTCTTAGATTTTTCCTGGTCTTGTGGCAGGATCATGACAGACCCATGTTTTGTGTACAAGCGCATGGCTTGTGTGGGCCATGTGCTTGTGTTGTCTCGTTACAGAACCCCGCCCTCTTGTTATCCTCGTCTTGTCATTATTGTCTAGTCAGTGTCACCTGTCCTCGTCATTAGTGTTCCCTATTTATTCCCCTTGTGTTTGCTGTCCTGGGTCGGTTCATTGTGAAACCTACCGTGAGTTCAGTGTTTGACTTTATCATTCTTTGTGTTTGTATCAAGCTGTGAGTAACTAGTTGAGAGTCTTGTCAAGAAGAGTTTGTTTCTATTGTTAGTTCATAGTCTTAGTCTAGTGTGTTATACCCTGTCCTGTTTTGCCCCATCGTGGGTTTTGCTTTCTGTTTTGTCCTTTAATAAACCCCTTTGAGAATCAGTTGCTGTCTGCTAGTGGGTTCATCAGCCATCTTCATAACAGAATGAACCGACCAACAAGAAACCCAGCAGACAGCAAGCCTATTTATCCTACTCTGCAGCCGTCAGACCCCGAACAATGGTGGCAGTCGGCCATCACCGACAGCCTGGAAGGCAAGCTTCCTTTCCCTCCTCAGGGAGAGTTGACCCTGAGGAAGTACGCCCAGGTCGTGGAGAAGAGGAGGGTTTTCTTGCCGGAGATTCTGGTCAACCGCTACTTCATCGCGGGTCTTAACGTCCATCCTCCTCTAGCTGAACGTGAGAGACTGGTCAGCTGCCCGTTCCACAAGATGGTGGACAGTCTGTCACAGAGGGAGCTGCAGGGTGCTACAAGGTCTTCATCTTCCGCTACACTTCCTGTGATCCCTGAGGGTCGTCTGTTAGCTGTTGCTACACTTGGGGACCAACCCAGTCTTGCCGCGACTCCTGAGACACCTTCCACGTCCATCAGTCTTCATGGTAAGCGTGGAAGGCACCCGTCGTGGGAGTCAGCATCAGAGTGTTCCTGCCCGGAATCCTCCTCGCCTGCAGTGAGCTCACCTGTTCCGGTAACGGTTCCTGCTTCACCTCCCTCTCCGGTCACTAGTCTGGCTACCTACTCTGCCCCGCGACCCAGGAGGAAGAAGAGGAGGAGAGGACCTTCGGGTTCGCCGTCTCTACCCCCTCCTGAGCCCGTGATGGCTCTCCAACCCGCCGCTGAAGTCGGAAGCGCTGTTCCCTGCCCCGCTGCTGTGAGCGCGATTCCGGTGGTTGCAACAGGAGACACCGTTCTTCAACCTGCTGCAGAAGGCGCCTTTTCCCAGTCGGCGTGGGGGAGATCCATTCCAGAGACTTGTACTGAGAAGGTCGTCTCTGAGTCTTCTGCCGTGTCTGCAGAGGAGAGAGCAGCAGCAGATTCCGCTGCAAGGGCTGTGGTACAGTCCGTTTCGGCTCATCAGGAGATGCCAGTCATCATCGCTGCCAGAACCCTGTCCGAGTATTTATCCCGTCTGGTCAGAATTCTTGATCTCCCAGTCAGTCCTGTCTCATCCCCAGTCCCTGTTTCAAATGCTCCAGAGAGCGCCGATCCCAGTCCAGAAACAGTCTTCGCTGACCCCAAGTCTGCTACACAGAGCACAGATCTCAAGCCAGCTGCAGTCTTCGCTGATCCCAAGTCTGCTACACAGAGCACAGATCTCAAGCCAGCTGCAGTCTTCGCTGATCCCAAGTCTGCTACACAGAGCACAGATCTCAAGCCAGCTGCAGTCTTCGCTGATCCCAAGTCTGCTACACAGAGCACAGATCCTAAGCCAGCTGACTTAGAGGCTGATCCCAGGCCAGCTGCCAAAGCTCCACAATCGACTGTTTCGCCCCGTGTCTTGTGTCCCGCACCTTTGCCTGCTTGGTCCCCCGTCAGAAGTCCCGTTACCTCATCCTCTGTGTCCTTGGAGTCCTCTATGTTGGAGTCTGCTGCTGCCAGTAAGACTGCATCCCCGTCTGTTTTCCCGGTCTCCCCTGGCTCCTCTAATTCCCGGTCTGTTTCCCCATTTGTCCCTGTCCCCACTGTTCCTGGACTTCCGTTTGTTTCCCCTGTCATGGCTCAACCCCGGACTGTTTTTCCCTTGTCCCACACCACTCCTCCCAAGCCCGCTCGGTCCTCTCGTCCTAAGCCCTCTCCCCGTGGTCCCAGGACCCCTGTCCCGCCCACCCACCCTGGACTGCCGCGCAAAGACATTGTGTTTCCTCCCCCTCCTCTGCCCTGTATGATGTTTTTGATGTTTCATCCCAATCCTGTCATTGTTTATTCTTGTATGCCCTTATTATTATTTGTTATGTATTGTTGGTTCTTGTCTTTGTCCCAGTCGGTCTTGTCCCATGTTTGATGTCTCCTTGAGGAGCGTCTGGTAGCCGCTCCTTAAGGTGGGGGTTCTGTCATGATTCTGCCATCATGTCTTAGATTTTTCCTGGTCTTGTGGCAGGATCATGACAGACCCATGTTTTGTGTACAAGCGCATGGCTTGTGTGGGCCATGTGCTTGTGTTGTCTCGTTACAGAACCCCGCCCTCTTGTTATCCTCGTCTTGTCATTATTGTCTAGTCAGTGTCACCTGTCCTCGTCATTAGTGTTCCCTATTTATTCCCCTTGTGTTTGCTGTCCTGGGTCGGTTCATTGTGAAACCTACCGTGAGTTCAGTGTTTGACTTTATCATTCTTTGTGTTTGTATCAAGCTGTGAGTAACTAGTTGAGAGTCTTGTCAAGAAGAGTTTGTTTCTATTGTTAGTTCATAGTCTTAGTCTAGTGTGTTATACCCTGTCCTGTTTTGCCCCATCGTGGGTTTTGCTTTCTGTTTTGTCCTTTAATAAACCCCTTTGAGAATCAGTTGCTGTCTGCTAGTGGGTTCATCAGCCATCTTCATAACAACAAGTTATGCACAACGTGGCCATGAGACGTTGCATTAAAAATATCTGATGGTAATGCAGCGTATGGAGAGTCAACTCTGATTGTTTGGCATTGAGTTTTGAATAGCACTGAATCACAGAGAGTCAGAAGTAGGTGTAAAGTGACTCATTGCTCTGTTTTTACTTGTTTATTGAAGCATTTACTTTTCCAGATATTAATACTATCAAGACATTCCTGTCCTTTCCTAAGTATGGATCTGCTTAACGCCCTTGTGTGTTATCTAGAGACTCGGATTCCTCAGGGTATCATCTGCTTGTGTTTGTGATGATTCTCTTATTAGTGAAGATAATGTATCATGGTGCAATTCTGGTGATTTTTGGTGCTGTGCACAAAGCCATCATATTCAGAAGTCTTGGAATATAGTGCACAAGTCTTAATAACTACTTTTATAATACTCTTATGTCGGTTCTGCAACCTGTTTTGAAGCTTGAAAGCCTATTTCATTGTAATTAGTTGAAAAACAGCAACCATTTTATTAAGTTTAATAGTCATTTTATTTAGCTGTGGAATCTTTTGATAGGTTGTGCAAGATTTATGTGATTTTGTCTTTCTCCATCTGTTCATTAAAGGTTCTATAAACAGTTGTCCACGCTTTTTTGGCAAGTCTTCTTGCCATAATTAAGAATTGAAGCAATTATTTAAAAAAAAAATGTAAGGATGAGTAGATGGTTTATAGCTTTATAACCAGTGGACTGTTATTTAAATGTATGTGGCATTCTTAGGGAAATTTGGCAATGATAGATATAATCTTTGAGTCTGCATGCAAAAGCATTGATAAAATAATGACTCACTTCGTGTTGGCATCTTCGCTGCCAAGTTAATTATGTTTTTTTTAAAGAAGTGTCGAACACAAAAAGTTCAATATATGAAAAAGACATTCAAAAAATGTTGTTTGTTCCCTAAGCAAGTTATTTAAAAAAAATAATGTGTCTATGTGTTTGCACTTTGGCCTCTATGTGACACGTGATTTAAAAAAAATCATAGGTTAAAATGTTGATGCAATTCCTATCTGTCTGTGGTGCTAATGGGTTTGAGACATAAAAGATTTAAAAAATCATCTTTAGCTTCAGCAGTTATTATATTTATTTGATTTTAACTCTATTTACAGCAAAGCAGATTATGTTTGCTTATAATCTTGTGGGTTTCACTGTTGTATCACTGTTGTGCATATGTCCTGGATGAAGCCGTCATTTGCACATTTAAAAAAACATTATTCTGCTGTCAGAGGGCTAATGGCGAGGAT